TTAGTAAACTGATAAATTCGCAAGCACGTGTTACACACGTGGTTATTTGCTAACTGAAAGGCTCAATGTAAAACTTTTAATTTTTAATTTTATAAATTATTTAACTTCTATGTTTTATAATACAATTTGTTTGGTGAAAACGTTGAAGAAATTTTGTTAAAAATATAGGTTGTATTTGAAAATAACAAAAAAAAAGAAGCAAAACAAAATCTATGTACAGTAAGTTCCAAAACAATATTTCTAATACGACTTAAGTTTTTTGACTTAATATTTGGATTGTTTGTACAAAAATATATCAAATAAATTATATACATTATGTAAATGTAAAAAATATCATATGTTCGATTTCAGTAATGTTTTTTTAATGTACTTTTATGATTTTCATACTTCACATAGTAATTAGTTTGTTTTTTAATCGTTTTTTAATTTGTTTGATGTATATTACTAATATTTAAATGCAGAATGTTAAATTTATATAAAAATATCGAATTTTTCTATCCAATTGGTATGTGAAAAATTGTTGATAAGAATTTGTAGAAAAATAAATGGACTTGCATTTGATTCATCGTTTCGATTAAATCTCTATTATTAATTTCCCATTATGGTTGTGTGGTCTTGTAAATAAAGAATGTTGGTCAGGCAGGTAATAGTTTGACCAAATTTTAAAAGGTTTTTTTTTTTTTATTCAAATCTGCACAGGTATTTTTATGGTTTAGTTATTGAATTTTAAAATTGCTGTTCTCGGTTAAAAAATTGTTCAGATTTCACGAGAAAAATTTCTCTCTCACCATGAGACTTCTTTACCTTGGCCATTGTATAATTTTTTTCTTAAATGCATCAGTCAACCTTTGGAAAAATTTTTTTATGCCAAATCTATTCTTTTCTATCTTTGATCTGAACGATTGATGGACAACTGTCAAGCTGTTCTTTTGTTGATAAATCAGCATTTTCAGACAGGTCGAAACACGAAAAAAAAAAAGATAAAATAACCAAAATAAAGAAAAATTCGTATAAAATTTTCTATTAGTGTAGGACATACTTAAGATAAATCAGATTTTTATGCTACCCCTTCTTTTCGCATTGTAAAATGATGAATCACCGTTTTTAAAATGCCATTCTACATAGAAAATATGAAATATTACAAATTTGTTAAATTTTCGTAAATATTTTTAGCAATATATGTTGCCAACGAACAACGTGAATTAATTGAAACAATTGTTTATAAATAACATTGTTAAAATTATTATCAAATTTCAATTGACAAAAAAACACCTCTTCCTTCGCTTTTAGAATTTGATTCAAGATAAAAATACATAATAATAATAATAATAATAATAATAATAATAATAATAATAATAATAATAATAATAATAATAATAATAATACAATTATATATAAATTTTCATTTTACCTATCAGAAGGTTGATTAAAAAAATCGAAATCTGGTCATAGAAATAATTTTGTTTTGTTAACTCGGTTAACAAAACAATTCTTTTCTTTTGTATGCTTATATTCGTTTACCTTTTATTTTGTAATAAATTGTAAAAAAAAATTCTTGATAAAGGGTTAAGCTTAAAAATCTGTCAATCGTCAAACCATTGTTTAGAAAATCCTTGCCGAGTTTTATTCTTCTTTCTTTAATATATATATATATATTTTTTTTTTTTAAATCAACAGAATTTTCCCTTTTAGGGTATTGACTGAATATTTTAAAGTATTAGATATATTGTTCAAAACCTTAATACCTCGATTTATAAATTTTTTTATATTTCTAAAGATAATCGTATTGTGTTGTTAACATTTGTCACGTATTTTCTTTTGAAATAAATTACAATAGGATTATCTTTTTCTTTTTTTTTTCCAGAGATCAATCAAAAGCAGTGTGTTTCTTTTCGGTTATTTTACTTTCATTGTAAAATCAGCAGGAATTTTCAACACAATTCTACTTATGTATTATAATTAGCTTAATACTTTAGTTGGTTGTATTAGATTTACAGGTATAAAATTGAAAGTTCTACTCACAGTTGGAAAATTCTTCTTTTAATACCCCTTATGGGTCAGCCCCTGAATCTAAGAAAACTTCTCATAGTTAGGATCGTCTAATGTTTCTTAAGTTATTTTTTTAATCTGTTCAGCAATTTACCATGTTTTTTTAGTAATTTTCAAAAATACTCACTTTTTGACAGGTATATTCTGCCTCCAAACCTTGAAATTTTTATTCTTCCCTTTTCCCTTCTTCTTTCTCTTATTTGTTTTTGAAAATTTCTTGTCCTTTTTACAAAAAATCTCAAATTTCAATTGCAATTCGTGTGAAGATTTTTGTCATTTTTTCTCTCTTTTTTCTATTTTTTTTTTCAATACTATATTTCATATAAATTCACCCTAAACGGGTCAAATGACAGATTTTTAACAAGTTCTATATTTTCATTATTTAATATGATATTTAATATTGAGAACATTAAAATTAACTAAATAAAAACAGTAATATTAAAAGCAAAATTTAAATATTGAAATGAAAAATCGATTATTTCACTAATAGATAATTATTATTATCTATATTATACTACTATTATTATATTTATAGTATTAAAGAATTATTATGCAAGAAATTTTTCTATTATGTTTTCTTTTTTAATTTTTTAAATTATCAACTTAATTATTTGTTCATTTTCTTTAGAATTCCAATGGTATATCATTCGTTATAGAAATTAATTCATTACCCCCTTTTTTTTTAAAACTAATTCAAATTTCTTATCACCCTTAATCCCATTTATAATAATATTTTTTTCTATTATATACAAATTATTATTTAATATTCTTCCCAACGAAATTAACAGTCTTTCAAAATAATCTAAAGTCAGAAAAATCACTAAATACTTTTTTGTTTATTTCAAATGAAAAAAAAAATCTATTATTAAAATTATTAAAAATAATTTATACGACATTAAAAAAAGAAATATTTTAAATCATAAACGTGTAAAATATTCCTTTTACCGATTGCGAAGGAATGTAAGTTATTTTGCAGCATAACAAAGATTCGCTAGTCCTTTCTTCAAACACTTAGGCCATATATCCCTTGAAACGGCAAGGAAGGAAGGAAGGAAGGAAGGTCTTCTTTTCCTTATGCGGTTTACATTTTGGGCCTAGTCCCGTCGGATTTTCATCCTTTTAAGTCTTTACAATATTCAAGGATGTTCTCAAACAATTTAAAGAAGTCTATAAATGCATAGAAAGTTTCAATAGCACTGTCATCCCTATTGTATTGGCATTTATAAGTCACTCAGCATGGGGTAGAGTAGAAAATTATGCTGAATCTTTTTTAATATTAACCTGTATACTTAAGGTACTTTTAATACATTTTTGGAGTTAATAGTAAAGAAAAAAAAAAAAATTCTTCAATAAATTCCTGTATATAAACGTTTTGCATACAGTTCTTACTAAAAAATGTGTGGGGTCTAAGAAAAATTATTCTCTTCAATAACTTTACATGCAAACCTAAAATAGGGAGTCTTTTGTCAAAAATTTTTTTACCGATTTACCTATAAAACGTAACAGATGTTCAACAATGGCACAAAACGGAACCTTCACAAATAGATTTTTTAAATAAAATATATTGCCCATGATGAATAGTTGTTCCTAGTTTGCTTCAAAGAACCACAGGGGTGTGACATGTTGCAGATTAATCTTAATTTAAGGTTTAAGGTTTCTTATTTGTTTGTTAAATAACGTGATTAAAACACTAGGAGAATTCGAGAGAAAAGAATGTTTATACAATTTTTACATCACTACTATACACGACGACGTAAATAATAACTTTTTTTTCATTATTTTTTGTTGTTGTGTCCTTCTGCTTCTTCTTCTTTTTCTTCTTCTTTCTTTTTCTTCTTTACGCGTATATTTAAATAATAATTTGAGTTTCTTTCTTTTGTTGTTGTTGTTGTTGTTGTCTTCTTATAGAATATTTTTTACTACACACGTGCTATGTGATATATGTATAAATACAGTTTAATTATTTTCTTTGTTTACTTTATCTTTTTTTTTCATGTTCAGATTTATACATCATCGTTCCAATGCTTATTGAAAAATAAAACAAATATAAAATGTAGGAATATTGAAAAGAAATTATATCGATAACTTTTGTTTTGTATTTTTTTTTTTTTTTTTAATTATAAATCGTGTTTATCTTTGTTGCAGTAACACGAAGCGATTTATAGTAATTTTATTATTGAATATTTCCAATATTTTATTTATTTATATTAACCAATTAAATGAGATTAACGAGTATACTCGTCGTGGGGAAAAAAATCAAATACTATTTGTTATTTAAGTAAAAAATTATAATTATATTCGTAAATTTTAAGATATTTTTTAAAAATATTTGTTGATAATAATAAAATAAAATGGAACAAAAAGAGGAAAAAAACAATAGAAATATTTATTATGAAAATATTGTATGCAGTGTGAACAAAGTTATTTTTTAAATAATCAATTTTATAATAAAATAAAACAAGTTATGTTTATAATCAAAGATTACAATTTAATTCAATATTAAAACAGCTACACATAATCTAAGTTTGACGAGTATACTAGTCGTCTCTTCTTTTATTTTAGCGACGCAATTTAGATACACACCATTTTCAAAATGTCGACGCAGACTAACTGATTAAATTCTTCCTTCGTATTTACGTTTACTTTATAAATTCGCTACTTCATCATAAAAGAAAATTGTTTCACTCATCCCAAAAAATATGTTATTATTATTATTATTATTATTATTATTTAGTTTGTTTTTGTTTTGTTTATAACAAAGAAGATATATAGAAACTAATTTTTGTACATATGGTTTGCTATTGCTTTTGCCACCTGAATTATATATATATATATACATATATATAAATATATATTTATATATATTTTTTTATATTTATTATATTTATTTATATATATGTATATATATGTATATTTATATATATTTACTGTATTTATGCTATATGGTTGTAATTTGTAGTATAAAACGAATACTGTGCAATCTGTATACAAAAAAAATGTCTAAAAGTTGAAAGTTATAACGGATCCGTTTGTACTGTTTTATTTTCCTTCTTTTCAACTGAAATGTTTTTGTCTAAAGAACCAAATTTATAAGCGATATTAAGAACTTCTCGCAAACCATCATTCTCTTTTTTCAAGCAATGAAACGCTTCCATTTCTTTGCATTCTTTCTCTTCGTCTAACGAAGCAGCTGTTCTCATTACAGCTGCCATTTCATTTATTTTTTCTGCTTGCCTTGTTATTATCTGAATTAACAAAAATTTATATATGTATATATGTTTGTATATATTTTGTTTTCTATAAAACAAATATGACAAGAACATATGCTGTCACTTACGTTGGCATATTTGGTATTATGCAAAGATGAAGTATCTGTTTTACTGATACGCATCAATGAAGCTATTTGTTGTCTATACTTGGACATTATTAATTCAAGCGCGTTTTGATGATCTTCCAAAGCATTTTTTAATTCTTTATTTTCGGCATTAATTTCAAGCAAATGCCTATTATCACGTTGTAAATCGGCAATAAGTTGTACATGAGGTGTTTGTTTAGCTTCGGTATTTAATATATCAACTTCTTCTTGATACTGTAAGAATACGGTCAAAGAAACAAAATATCTTACTGTAGTGTATTGTGTTAATGTTAATTACAACACATGAGGGATAATTACTAATATAGTAATTACCTGTTTCATATTATCAATCTGACTATGAACAGATTCCATATCGCTAATTAAATTATCAGCAGCACTTTCATGATCTGATATTCTTATAACTAATTTTTTAGCATCCAATATAATTTGTTGAACCGTTAACGACATCTGAAAGAAACAACAATGTTTCGCACTTAAAATTGAGGTTAGAAAAATAAATGTTTACAGACAAAGACTTAAACAAAGAATAGTTTTTAAAGGTTCTATATCAAATCAATGAAATATTAATAAA